AGTGAGTAGAGAGTAGTCAGTAGTGAGTAGTGGGTAGTGATTAGTGAGTAACGAGTAGGGAGTTGCGAGTAGCGAGTAGGGAGTAGGGAGTAGTGAGCAGTGAGTGGTAAGAAGTGGGTAGCGAATAGTGGGTAGTGAGTAACGATTGGCGAGTAGTGGGTAGTGAGTAGTGATTAGTGACGAGTGAGTTGTGACTAGTGACTACAGACTATGTAGTGACTAGTGAGTGGGGAGTAGTAAGTAGTGAGTAGTGCATAGTGAGTAGCGGGGAGTGAGTAAGGAGTATTGAGTAACGAGTATAGGAGTAGCGAGTAGTGAATACTGAGTACTGTGTAGTCAATATTGTATAGGGAGTAGCGAGTAGTGAGTGGAGGGTAGTGAGTAATGATTTGTAGGCAATGAGTAGTGCGTAGTAAGTAGTGGATAGTGGGTAATGAGTAGTGATTAGTGAGTAGTGAGTAGGGAGTAGTGAGTAGTGCTTAGAGAGTAGTGAGTATTGAGTAGTGGGCTGTGTGGAGTGCGGAGTGAATAGTGAGTAGGGACGAGGGAGTAGTGAGCAGGGAGTAGTGAGTAGCGAGTAGTGGGTGGTGGGTAGTGAGTAGTGGGTAGTGAGTAGTGAGTCGTGAGCAGTGAGTAGGGGGTAGTGGGAAGTGAGTAGCGAATGGCGAGTAGTCAGTAGTTGGTAGTGAGTAATGAGTAGTGAGTACTCTTTGGGGTTGGGGTTAGTGGTTGGTGTTAGGATTAGGGGTTTTGGTTATGGTGAGGACTAGGGGTACGGGTGGCGGGGGTCGGGTTCCGGAGTCAGGGGGCGGCGTGGCGAAAAGGGGGAGGGGAGGGTGGGGGTTGCGGCCAAAGGGCGGGAGGGGGGGGGGGGGTCGGACCCCCCCCCCTTGTAAAAGGGGGGAAGGGGGGGGGTCCTGACAACGGATCGGGGAAAGGGGGGGGGAGGGGGGGGTTCCCGACGACGGATCGGGGAAGGGGGGGAGGGGTCCTAACCCCCCCCCTTGGGGAGATCCAGCGGCGCACCCTCGTGGTTTACCAAAGGGAGGTTTGACCACCGCCGAACGACGACGACGACGACGACGACGACGACGACGACGACGACGACGACGAGATGTCCCTCAGGTCGGCGGCGAGCGAGGGGGGAATCGAGAAGGATAAGGCCTTCTCGGAAGGCGGCGGGACCTGTTAAAAGCCCTCGCGCCTTCTGAGAAGAGTTGGGTGTCTCTCCAGTGAAACCCTCGGACAAATCTCAGAAGGCCGGGGGATTTCCGAGCCTTCCGAGAAGGCCCGCCCCTTCTCAAGCAGTGTGGTGTAATACATCGTCCGAGTGTTCTAAGAACATTGTGTTTGTTTTTTGAACACTTCTGGATTCTAGGACCATTTCGTGGTAGGCTTATGGGAATGCCGGGACAGTCGGTCCCTGCTCAACCTTCTCATTTCCCCCCGGGTTCGCCGCCGACACGAGCCAGCTCCCACCCCCCCTGGGCCATCGCCAGGGGCGGCAGACCGACCGCTCCCGCTGCCCCTCCTCGTCCCCTGACCGGGTGAGTCGTGATACCACCGCCCAATATAGAGTGGAACATCGCGCGCATGTCGCAACACAGTGAGAGAGCATCGGAGGAGAGACAACGAGGGCAACAACACGTCAGCCCTCGTCAGGGCACGCCTCGGCTGAGCCCCCGTGCGTCGGCTGACCAAGGGCCAGACTGCTCAGCAACGTGCCGACACGGGATACTTACGACAACACGTCGGTCGGAAAAACCCTCCTCATCCCCTATGTCCGAGGTGAGGTGTTCGATCGTGGACCGTTTGTTGGGGTCGGCTGGGGGTCCGAGGTGGCCCAGCACTGGTTCTGGCCAGCCGGAAGGGCACGAGGAGGTGCGTTGTTTCGTTCGTTCTCCGGGGGCCTTCCATCAGGCCCCCGGACCTCCAGGGTGAAAAGCTGCACCTGATGGGCCCCAGGAGGGGTCCAGGGACGGATTTTGAGCGGTTTGGGCTCCCCCCCCCCAATGGACCGATTGTCTCAGGGCCCAATTAGCTCAGTCCGCCCTGGCCGCCTCCGAAACGCTTTGTAAACCGCAGGCATCCAGCTTTCGCGCCGAAGACCGCCGACAACCATCAGACGACCACCGAAGACCATCCGAGGATCGAGGATCCGACTTTGGAAAGAGCGCTTTCTGCCGCTGCTGGCGGGGGGGGGGGCGTTCAACCCCTCCCACCCCTGCGGGAAAATCACTCGGGGGGTCAGGACCTCCCCCCTGGACGTTTTTTCGCGCGGCCCAATCGAGTACGTAGCCGAGGATCGAGAATCCAACTTTGGAAAGAGCGCTTTCTGCCGCTGCTGGCAAGGGGGCGGGGCGTTCAACCCCTCCCACCCCTGCGGGAAAATCATTCTCGGGGTCAGGACCCCCCCCGTGAACGTTACTCGAGCGGCCCAATCGAGTACGTAGCCGAGGATCGAGGATCCAACTTTGGAAAGAGCGCTGTCTGCCGCTGCTGGAAGGGCGGGGGCCGTTCAATCCCTCCCACCCTTGCGGGAAAATCATTATGGGGGTCAGGACCCCCCCCGTGAACGTTTTTCGCGCGGCCCGATCGAGTACGTAGCCGAGGATCGAGGATCCAATTTTGGAAAGAGTGTTTTCTGCCGCTGCCGGCAGGGGGGGGGCGCTCAACCCCTCCCACCCCCGCGTGAAAATCATTCGGGGGGTCAGGACCCCCCCCGTGAACGTTATTCGAGCGGCCCAATCGAATACGCAGCCGAGGATCGAGGATCCAACTTTGGAAAGAGCGCTTTCTGCCGCTGCTGGAAGGGGGGGGGGGGTGTTCAACCCCTCCCACCCCCGCGGAAAAATCATTCTGGGGGTCAGGACCCCCCCAGTCAACGTTTCTCGCGCGGCCAGATCCAATTTTGGAAAGAGTGCTTTCTGCCGCTGCTGGCAGGGGGGGGGGGGGGCGTTCAACCCCTCCCACCCCCGCGGGAAAATCATTATGGGGGTGAGTCAGGACCCCCCCTGTGAACGTTACTCGAGCGGCCCAATCGAGTACGCAGCCGAGGATCGAGGATCCAACTTTGGAAAGAGCGCTTTCTGCCGCTGCTGGAAGGGCGGGGGCCGTTCAATCCCTCCCACCCTTGCGGGAAAATCATTATGGGGGTCAGGACCCCCCCCGTGAACGTTTTTCGCGCGGCCCGATCGAGTACGTAGCCGAGGATCGAGGATCCAATTTTGGAAAGAGTGTTTTCTGCCGCTGCCGGCAGGGGGAGGCCGTTCAATCCCTCCCACCCTTGCGGGAAAATCATTCGGGGGGTCAGGACCCCCCCCCGTGAACGTTACCCGAGCGGCCCAATCGAGTACGGAGCCGAGGATCGAGGGTCCAACTTTAGAAAGAGTGTTTTCTGCCGCTGCTGGCAGGGGGGGGGCGTTCAACCCCTCCCACCCCCGCGGGAACATCATTCGGGGGGTCAGGACCCCCCCCCTCGTGATCGAGTACGTAGCCGAGGATCGAGGATCCATCTTTGGAAAGAGTGCTTTCTGCCGTTGCTGGAAGGGGGGGCCGTTCAACCCCCCCCACCCCTGCGGGCAAATCTTTCGGGGGGTCAGGACCCCCCCCGTGATCGTTTCTTGCGCGGCACAATCGAGTACGTAGCCGGGGATCGAGGATCCAACTTTGGAAAGAGTGTTTTCCCACCCCCGCGGGAAAATCATTCGGGGGGTCAGGCCCCCCCCTGAACGTTACCCGAGCGGCCCAATCGAGTACGGAGCCGAGGATCGAGGGTCCAACTTTGGAAAGAGCGCTTTCTGTCACTGCTGGCAGGGCGGGAGCGTTCAACCCCTCCCACCCCTGCGGGAAAATCATTCGGGCCCAATCGAGTACGTAGCCGAGGATCGAGGATCCAATTTTGGAAAGAGTGCTTTCTGTCGCTGCTGGCAGGGCGGGAGCGTTCAACCCCTCCCACCCCTGCGGGAAAATCATTCGGGGGGTCAGGACCCCCCCCCTCGTGAACGTTATTCGAGCGGCCCAATCGAGTACGTAGCCGAGGATCGAGGATCCAACTTTGGAAAGAGCGCTTTCTGTCGCTGCTGTCAGGGGGGGGGGGCGTTCAACCCCTCCCACCCCCGCGGGAAAATCATCCGGTGGTCGGGACCTCCCCGTGAACGTTACTCGAGCGGCCAAATCGAGTACGTAGCCGAGGATCGAGGATCCAACTTTTGAAAGAGCGCGTTCTGCCGCTGCTGGCAGGAGGAGGGGCGTTCAACCCCCCCCCCACCCCCGCGGGAAAATTCAAAGTTATTCGGGGGATCAGGACCCCCCCCGGGAGCGTTACGCGAGCGGCCCAGACGCCCCCCCCCGCAACGACGACGACGACGACCACCTCGACGACGGCGGCGGCGGCGGCGGTGGCGGCCGCGGCGGCGGCGACGGCGACTGCGACGGCAACGCCGACGGCGACGGCGACGGTGACGGCGACGGCGACGGCGACGGCAACGGCGACGACCACGCTGACAGACGCACGACGACCACGGCGACGACGCCGACGACGACGCCGATCCCGACGCCGATCCCGACGCCGAAGCCGACACCGAAGCCGACGCCGAAGCCGAAGACGACGACGACGACCACGACCACGACGACGACGACGACGACGACGACGACGACCACGACCACGACGACGACGACGACTGCGACGACGACCACGACCACGACCACGACCACGACCACGACCACGACCACGACCACGACCACGACGACGACCACGACGACGACCACGACGACAACCACGACGACGACGACGACGACGACGACGACGACGAGTGTAGAGCACGCAAGCAGTAGAGCATTCTAGGAGTAGGGGGTGGATGGGGAGAGCCCCCCCTGGCTTCTGACCTCCCCCCCTCCTCACAAAACGGTTGCAGGCCAGCGGCGGGGGATCGCGTTGCCTCGAGCTTTGGGCGCGTCGCGCGCCTGCCTCGGACGCCCGGGTACCCCGCGGGGGGCAGGGCACGCCGCTGCTGGGGACGCCGCTGCTGGATGAGGCGCCGCGAGCGCGGGGGGGGGGCGCGGGGACCGCCCGCGGGCCGCCGGGAGGGGGGGGGGGATCTGGGGCGGGGGGGGGGGGGGACGATAGGGGGGGATAGGCATAGGGGGGGACGCATTGACCCCCAATCGCCCACTGATCGCCGATAGGGGCCCGACAGCCCCAACCTGTCCAGGAAGGTGCGGACTCACCATCAGAGGCCTATCGCCGATCTATCGGCGATGTATCACCGATTCCAGGTTGATGCATCCCCCCCTATGGCTATCCCCCCCTATCGTTGCCCTTCAGGGGTGGGGGTGGGGGCGAGGATTGAGGCAATCGAGCAGCATAGGTCGACCACGCGCAGAGGAGGGCAGGGGGAAGGGGGAAGGCTTCCTAAAACCCGTGCTTCGAGGGCGCGGGCCTTATCTGTAGATGTAAGGCCAGCGCCTTCTCAGAAGTAGCCTCCTTGTAAAGAAGACTTCCCCCCTCCCCGTACCCCCTCGCGCTCGCCGTCAAGCACTGGTAGTTGGCCTTCGGGGGGGGGGGGGCCCTTGTCGCCACGGCTGGACACAGCTCGGAAAAAACTTGTGCGTTTGGACCCCGGGAAAGGTTCGGGGGCCGATTTTGAGCCGACGTTGAGGTTTCCAAGGTCAGCTCGCTCTTCTCCGAAACGGGGAATAAGCAAGAATATAAACATAGAAACCCGGAGGTCCGCGCGGATTCCTCGGATTTGGCAGCGCCTCCAGCGCCGCCCCCGGCTCGCTCCCCGCGCCAGGGGGGGGGTTCCACTGCCGATCCCCAGAATCCACGCGGACCTCCGAGTTCCTATGCTTGCGTCGTTGTTCGTCCCCCTACAGCAAGCCTCGCGTCGTGCACGCTGGCGGCAACAGGCAGAGCGCAGCCCACGGTTCTTGGTGATCGTGCCCGCTCGGCCGTGGCGTTCCGTGGCGCCGCAAGGGCGACGAGAATGCTGCTTCGGACAACGTTTTTGCGGAGGCAGAGGAGTGGACTGCAGCAGTGCAAGCAGGACCCTGAAAAAAGCGGGCGGGCCCGGCGCCTGCGAAGCGGCGCCGAGAGTGGCGCCGGGGGAGGCCAGGGGCAGCCAGAGACGCTGGGGCAGCTGGAGACGCCAGCGTCCACGCCCAGGCTGGCGCGCTGGACGAGCGGGTCGGCGCTGCCAGCAGGATCGAGGGCGACGCGCACCGCTTCCGTCCAGTCGGCAGGCAGAGCAGCGAGGCCCCGATGAGGCGTTGGCCGGACGCTGCCGAGTTCTCGCAGGGGCTCGTGGGGACGTGCCGATTGCTTGCAGTGCTGGCAGCGGGAAGCGGAGCAGCTGCGGCCTGTTGCAGTGGACGGCTGCAAGGACGAACAGCTCGAGGAGGACTGGGAGGAGGAGGAGGAGCAGGAGGAGGAGGAGGAGTTTTCCCCTCTGGCTCCTCCTGCCCCCTCCTCCCTGCCTGCCCCCTCGTCCGCGCGCGATCCGCCCTTCGCCGACGACGACAACGACTACGACGACGAGGAGGACGAGGACGACGAACGACGGACGACGGACGACAGACGACGGACGGCGGCACCGCCCACGACGACGACGACCACGACCACGACCACGACCACGACGACGACGACGACGACGACGACGACGACGACGACGCCGACGCCGACGCCGACGCCGACGCCGACGCCGACGCCGACGCCGCCGCCGCCGCCGCCGCCGCCGCTGCCGCCCCCTTGGCGTCGATACCCCGGCCCACGAAGGCCGCCGCAGGGTTTCCGAGGTCTCCCCTGAAGGGCCCACGAGGACCCCGACGACGGCGACGACGACGCAGGACCAGAAGCCCCCACCCCGCGCCGAAGGACCAGAAGCCCCCCCGGGCGGCCCACCACAGCGGCGGCGCCTCCCCCGAGTTCTCCGTCGTTTTCAGATTGGCGGCTTCATCCCGCGCGCCGCGGAAAATGCGCGTAGTGTGTGTAGTGTGGGTGTGTGCGTTGCGTGTTGTGTGGTGTGTGGTGTGTGTTGTGTGTCATGTGTTGTGTGTTGTGCGTTGTGCGTTGTGCGTTGTGCGTTGTGCGTTGTGTGTTGTGCGTGTTTTGTGCATTGTGCATTGATCGTTGTGCGTTGTGCGTTGTGTGTTGTGCGTTGTTCGTGGTGAGTTGCGTGTTGTGCATTGTGCGTTGTGTGTTGTGTGTTGTGTGTTGTGTGGTGTGTGGTGTGTGGTGTGCGGTTTGTGGTGTGTGGTGTGTGGTGTGTGGTTTGTGGTGTGTGGTTTGTTGTGTGTGTGGTGTGTGGTGTGTGTGGTGTGTGTGTGTGCGCTGTGAGTTGTGAGTTGCGTGTTGCATGGTGTGTGTCGTGTGTTGTGTGTTGTGTATTGTGTGCTGTGTGCTGTGCGGTGTGTGGTGTGTAGTGCGCGTGGTGTGTGATGTGTGTGATATGTGGGGATGTGTGTGATGTGTGTGTGTGTGTGATGTGTGATGTGTGTTGTGGTGTGTGTTGTATGTTGTGTGATGTGTGTTGCGGGTTGTGTGTTGTGTATTGTGTGGCGTATGGTGTGAAATGTGCGATGTGTGTGATGTGTGGGTTATGTGTGTGTGTGTGTGTCAATATGTGGTGTTTGTGTGAGTGTCCTTGTGTCTCTGTGCCTCTGTGCCTTCGTGTGTCTATGTCCCTGTGGCTCTGTGTCTCCGTGTTATTGCGCCTGTGTATATATGTCTTTGCGTCGTCGTGCCTCTATGCCTCTGCATATGTGTGGCTCCGTGTCTCGGTGTCTCTGTGTATCTGTGTCGTTGTGCCTGTTTGCCTCTATGTATTGGTGTTTCTGTGTCTCTGTGTCTCTGTCTCTGTCTGTGTCTGTGTGGGTGTTTCTGTGTGTGCGTCAATGTGTGTGTGTGCCCGTATCTTTGGCTCAAGCCGTCTGGGGTCCCCCCCTGTCAAGGACCCTCGCCCCAGGTTCGGCCCCCCGGCACCCTGCAGCTCGCGTTTGGGACCCCTGGGCGTGGGCCGCGCGCCAGCCATCAGCATGCAGCGGCGGCACCAAGCTGCGAGCAGCGTGTTTGTTCCTCTGCCTTGTTTCTGTTGCCTCCCGTCCCCCCCTTCCCCCTTTTGCTTCTCTTGCGTCTGCCTCCCCCGTCTTTCTCACCTCTCTGCTGCCTTGCGCGTCCTGTCCCTATGTCTTTGCAAGATGGCACTCACGAGACGGGCGAGGGCGGAGTTGAGGAGTTTTTTTTTTACCCCAGTAATAAAAGAGTTTGCCAGGAATCCTGACGAGCACTTGCAGCATCAGCTGGCGATGCTTCCCTCATTCTGTCCTTTTCTCCTGCTTTCTTCTATCCTCCGTAGTCATTTGCCTCAAGTGGCCCGTGCGGGCCGCAGGGGGAGTGCAGACTTGAACGGATGCTTCACTTCACATATTTTGGAGCCTTCTGTGCAGCGCTCAGGGGGGCAAAGACCCCAATGCAGAGTCCAGGGGGCTTGATGTGGAATGGTAAATATACATCGTCTCATCATTATTCTTGCCGTCTGTCAGTGCCTCGACGGAGCGTTTGGTGGCAAACTACTGGTTATCAGCCGAAACAGCTCTATGAATATTCTGAGTTAAGGGACTTCACTGCAGTGGCTACACCGGCGACGACACATGGGCGACGAGCGCACCATAGACGGTCACCGACAGCCATGCAGCGACGTTTGGAGAAAAAGCAGGAACGCTTCAGCTCGTCAGGTCGCGCACGAAGAGCCCCATTCGCAAGACAAAGCGGAGGAGCTCATGAAAGCCATCCTGAATATCAAGAACGAGGTCAACAGTGTGATCGATCTCACAAACAAGAACTTGAAGGTGACGCAGGAGAGCTCGTGCACGATGCAGAACTCGCTCAACGATTGCTTCAGGATGCCCGACGCTACCGAGGCGCCAGGCGCCGCCGACGCTGCCCCGGCCGCGCCGCGGTGGCAAACGCACCCGGCCAAGCCGTGGTAGCCGGCGCAACCTTTCCTCCAGACGCTTTCGGTCAGCCCGAAGGCGTTGCCGCTGTTGCCAGCCAGACTGACGGCCGCGGGAAGGGAAGTGCAGAGGCCCGAGAAGACACGCACAGTCAGCAACGACTGACTGCGCAGCATCCAGGGGGCGCCGTCTGCTTCGAGACCGGTTCGGGCGCCGAGAACGAGGAGCAGCGCGAGGTTGTCCTCGATGCCGGGTGCGCTGCAGTGGCTGCGCCTGCCGTGGATCCAAACCACAATCCTCTTTTCGAGAACCACCCGCCCCCTGGGCCGGGATGGGTCCGCGTTCGAGATGCATTTCACTTTCGAGGGCCGATTGCTGGCGATCGTGTTATGACTTTCTTTCCATATCCGCACAATGACGAACGAACTGGGACGCTGGTTCAGAGAAATACTTCGCCCTGGTTGAAAGACTGTGATAGAGGTTGCACGTGGGACGCACTCGTTGCCGACGGCACTCAGGACTAGTGGGGGAAAGAGATTGGCCGGCACGAGACAGAGTCCGTGATCCCCCCTTCATCCTGAGAGCACACTGAGATACGCGAGTGAGCTCGCAGCACTCGTCGAATCCGCTGGACAGGGGGAGTTTTTATCACCCCAGTAATAAAGGAGTTGTCCAGGAATCCTGACGAGCACTTGCAGCATCAGCTGGCGATGCTTCCCCCATTCTGTCCTTTCTCCTGCTTTCTTCTATCCTCCGTAGTCATTTGCCTCGAGCGGCCCGCGCGGGCCGCAGGGGGGGCGCAGACTTGAACGGATGCTTCACATCACATATTTTGGAGCCTTCTGCGCAGCGTTCAGGGGGCAAAGACCCCAATGCAGAATCCAGGGGGCTTGATGTGGAATGGTAAAGATACATCGCATCAACATTATTCTCGCCGCCAATCAGTGCCTCGACGGAGCGTTCGGTGGCAAACTACTCGCCTAAGCCTCCCATCGCGAAGAGGTGGCCTCCGCGATCCTGCAGACTGGCGCACCAGTTGGGCAGCTGCGCACAGTTGGTCAACTAGTGGATCTGGACGCCACTTGTCCTGGTGCCTCTGCCTCCTCCCGCCCGGACTCGCCCCCCGCCTTGGCGCCCGCTTTGATCAGGACATGGCGAGTCGGCTGGAATCGTTCGCAGCGCATCTCGCGGCCCTCGGGCTGGACAGTCAGGGTCGGCGCGGCATTCGGATCGCAAGGGGTGAGCACGGCCAAGAGTTCTTTTCACTTCCCCGCACGCGGCCACAGACCACCATCGCCTTTGCTTGCTCCATCTCGCACCCCGCCGCCGTCAGGGCCGGATCCGCGGGGGCCGCCCCCCCTTCCCGAGAGCGGCGGCTTGGCCTCCAGATGGGGGGGGCGCCCTTGTCGGCAGCCGCCCCGCTCCCCCACCACCCGCCTCCGCCGGGGCGGCCCCCGTTGCTGCAAGCTCCGGCCCCCCTGCCCCCGCCAAGCGGTCGTCGCCGCGCTGCGAGACTCTCCATTTTCGATTTCGGGGGCTGGCGGGGGGGGGCAGCGCAGCGCGTGCCGAACGCATATTCAAATTAAACCTCGCCACCCCCGGGACGACTGCGGGATACGTAGCTGTCGTCGCGACTGAATAGATGTTCCCAGGGCAGGGGCAGCGGGCGCCGAACGCAGATCCCGGCAAGATCTCGCCATAGCTGGGGAGGGCCCTGAGCTGCGAAAGCGTCGCCCCGAGGAGGTATTCGGCGGGGCAGCGCGGAGGGGGGCAATCGCAGATTCAGGTTGGACCTCGCCATCCCTGCAAGGGGCGGCAAACTGCGAAACTGACGCTTCTTTCGAGGGGCGCTGGAGAGGCCGGCGCAGTGCGCAACCCGCGCAGATCCACATTGGACCCGGCCATCCCCTGGGGGGCTACGGACTCCGAAATTGTCGCCGCCCGTTAAGGAGGTTCTGGCGGGGCCAGGGCTGCGGGCACCGAGCGCAGTTCCAGGTGGGATCTCGCCGCGCCCGGGGGGGCCGCGACCTGCGAGACCATCGCCTTGAGGGGCGCCGGGCGGGGCGGCACGCGGGGGAAGCGCAGACCGACGCTAACTTTCGCTATCCCTGGGGGGGCCGAATTCTGACACCGCCGCCGCACTCGGGCGCCGCTGGGGGGCCGGCGCGGCGCCGAGCGCGCCAGCGACAGCGCCCGCGTCTTGGAAGCGACGGGCCCCGCCCTCTTCGCGCCCCAGACTTCGGGCTCGGGCGATCCCCGCCGCGAAGTCATTGTCGAGGCGGGGCGCAAGGGCGCGGGAGACATGAGCGGCCTCCCCGGCAGCGTCGCCACGCGATGCTCTCCACGCGCCGACGCCCGCGCGGCCTCATTGACATTGCCCTCGCGCTCTCGCCATCCCCGCCACGCCCGGCGGCCATTGAGCCACGCGCGCCCCGCCTTCGCGCGCGCCGCGGCAGCGCCGCCCGGCCGCAAGAAGAAAAATGTGCGACGAGGACGCGTGCGCCGGTCGACAGCGCCCCCCCATTCTGCATCGGCGGTAAGATTTACTAGCGCATTGGGAAAAGAGTGCGCGCGTTCGATTGCCCTTGAGTGCGCGCGTGCGTGTGTGTCTGTGCACCCGCGCGTCTGCGCGTCTGCGCGCCCGCGCCCGCGCGCGCGCGCGGGTGCACGCGAGCGCGCGCGCGCGCGTGCACTCGAATTCTCGCGGTCGCTCGCGCACGCATGCGCGCGCGCATGCGCTTGTGCATGTGCCCGCGCGCGCTTGCGCGCGCGCGTGCGCGCGCGGGCGTTTTCACGTGCTTTTGTTTGCGTGCATGCGCGCGTGCGCGCGTGCTGGCTTGCGCGCGCGCGCCGGCGATTGCGTTTGCGCGTGCTCGCGCGTTCCCGCCGCGCGCGCGTGCGCGCGTGCGCGCGCGTGCGTGCGGCGTGCGCGGTGCGCGCGCGTGCGCTTGCGCGCGTGCGTGCGCGCGTGCGTGCGTGCGTGTTCGCGTTCGTTTCTGTGTGCGTGTGTGTGTCTCTCTCTCTCTCTCTCTCTCTCTCTCTCTCTCTCTCTCTCTCTCTCTCTCTCTCTTTCTTTGCGTGCGTGCGCCCGTGTGTGTCTACGCTCGCGTGCGTGCGATCGTGCGTGCGTGTGGCGCGCGGTGCGTGCGTGCGCGTGCGCGCGCGTGCCTGCGTGCGTGCGCGCGCGTGTGTGCGTGCGCGCGTGTGTGCGTTTGTGTGTTTGTGTGTGTGTTTGTGTGCGTGCGTGCGTGCGCGAGTGTGCGTGTGCGTGTGTGATTGTGTTGTGCGCGCGTGCGTTAGTGCGTGTGTGTTGTGTGTGCGCGTTTGTGCGCGGTGCGTGCGTGCGCGCGCGCGTCTGCGCGCGTGCGCACGCGCCCCTGCGCGTGCCAGCGAGCGCGCGCGCGAGCGCGCGTGTTCGCGCGCGTGAATTCGCGTTCTCGCGCGCGCGCGCGAGCTGACGTGCGCGCGCGCGCCCATGCTCGCGCGCGCCCGCGTGCGAGCGCGCAGGTCTGCGATTGCGCGCGCTTTGGAATGCGCGCGCGCGCTCGGGCTTGCGGGCGTGGCGTTGCGCGCGCGTTTGCGCGCGCGCGTGCGCGCGCGCGGGCGGGGGCGCGCGGGCGGGCGCGCGCGCGCGCCTGCGGACGCGCGCGCGGGCGGGCGGGAGGGCGGGCGAGCAGGCGGGCGGGCGTGCGGGAGGGCGGGCGGGCGCGCGCACGCGCGCGCGTTTGCGTTCACGCGCGCGCGCGCACGTGACCGCGTGCGCATGCGCGAGCGCGCGCGAGTGCGAGTGCGCGCGCGTGTGCGCGCGTGCGCGTGCGCGTGCGTGTGCGTGTGCGTGCGCGCGCGTGTGCGTCTGCGTGTGCGCGTGCGCGTGCCCGCGCGTTCGCGTGCGTTTGCGCGTGCGCGTGCAGGCGCGTGCGCGTGTGCGCGGGCGCGTGCGCGTGCGTGTGAGCGTGCGCGCGGGTGCGTGTGTGCGTGTGTGTGTGCGTATGTGTGCGTGTGCGATGCGTGTGCGATGCGCGTGCGTGTGCATGCGTGCGTGTGTGTGTGCGTGTGTGCGCGTGCGCGTGAGTGCGTGTGTGCATGTGTGCGTGTGTGCGTGTGTGCGTGTGTGCGTGTGTGCGTGTGTGCGTGTGTGCGTGTGTGCGTGTGTGCGTGTGCGCGTGTGCGCGTGTGCGCGTGTGCGCGTGTGCGCGTGTGCGCGTGTGCGCGTGTGCGCGTGTGCGCGTGTGCGCGTGTGCGTGTGCGCGTGTGCGCCGCGTGTGCGCGTGTGCGCGTGCGCGTGTGCGCGTGTGCGCGTGTGCGCGTGTGCGCGTGTGCGCGAGTGCGCGAGTGCGCGAGTGCGCGTGTGCGCGTGTGCGCGTGTGCGCGTGTGCGCGTGTGCGCGTGTGCGCGTGTGCGCGTGTGCGCGTGTGCGCGTGTGCGCGTGTGCGCGTGTGCGCGTGTGCGCGTGTGCGCGTGTGCGCGTGTGCGTGCGTGTGCGCGTGTGCGTGTGTGCGTGTGTGCGTGTGTGCGTGTGTGCGTGTGTGTGTGTGTGCGTGTGTGCGTGTGTGCGTGTGTGCGTGTGTGCGTGTGTGCGTGTGTGTGTGTGTGTCTGTGTGTGTGTGTCTGTGTGTGTGTGTCTGTGTGTCTGTGTGCATGCGTGTGTGTCTGTCTGTGTCTGTGTGTCTGTGTGTGTGCCTGTGTCTGTGTCTGTGTGTGTGTGTGTGTCAGTATCTGTGTGTGTGTCTGTGTCTGTGCGTGTGTCTGTGTCTGTGTGTGTCTGTGTCTGTGTGTGTCTGTGTGTGTGTCTGTGTGTGTGTGTGTCTGTGTCTGTGTGTGTCTGTTTGTGTGTGTGTCTCTGTCTGTGTGTGTGCCTGTGTGTGTGTGTCTGTGTCTGTGTGTGTTATTGTTTGTGTGTTTGCGCGTGGTTGAGTGTGCGCGTGCGGGCGCGCGCGCGCGTGTTTGCAACCGTGCGTATGTCCAGCCCGCGCACTACATTGCACCAACAGACAGCGTCATACAGCAGTACTCCAAGACGGTGCCGCGCGCTGGGCTGTCGATCTTACACGCACGTGCCTTAATCAGCGAGATCGGTCTTGCGCTCCGCCCGCTCACAACGCCCCCTGCCCAGATGGATCCCAAACCTTTTGCTTGTCAAAGTTTTACCCATCAAGATGTCCATTGAGAACGATTCGGGGCAAAACACCATGTGCACGAATGTCTATACGTTTCCGCGGCCACAGATACCGACGGGACACTTCAGAGAGACGTTTTGGCCCGAAAGGCTACCAGGTATCACGTGCGCAATATGTCTGACACCTGACACGGCAGCAAAGAAGATCACAAAAAGCGGCCGGTGACATGAGTGTTTGCTCATGTTTTGCGCGCGCATGTGCCAACACATTGCCTCACACATCGAAGCAATGATGTGTCACTTGTGCAGCTAATCGTGGGTCCGCTGGCGAGGCCTTCGACCAAGCAATACGTGAAACACCATTCATCAGGAACGTGGCCACCTCCAGCTGGAGCTTGTCTTATGCCGCATTGCACAATGCATGAACGCATGCATCGAATATGGCACGAGAAACTAGCTAACTGACAGACGGCCAGTGGCATAAGCGCACATCGTACCAGGATGTTCTTGTTGACAGGGCACCTGGGGCCACTGCACATTTCTTCGGTATGATGGTTGTGCGACAAAAATCAAAACGCAGCTGCTCATACGAATTTGGCTCGCACGCGCGTGCAACGCGCTCACCTTTTACGAATACCATGCGCCCAGCGATTGCGAACCATTGACGGGTTCAAGCAGAAGGTCGTGTGTTCGGCAGCGGTATGGTGAATTGTGTGCACACGCGCGACGGCAACACCGCGAGTTGCGATGCGATGCGCGGTGATGTGTATTATGTGTTTTGTCGTTTTGTGCGTACGTTTCCTTGTTTTCGGACGGTGTCTGAATCATTTCACTCTTCATCCTGCCGAGGGGGTATACGTACGGTCGATCCAAAGTTGCCTCGCGCCTGAGGGGCTGGCCGCCTGCAATATTTCGCTCCGACGGCTCGACTTGCTCCGCTTCGTCGCCAGGCGCGAAGCCGCGACCGCGCAGGAGTGTGCACGTTTCCGTGTGAATATGCCTGTGTCCTCCGCAAGATGGGTTTCCATCCGACGGTCTCTACGAGGACCGTCCCTGCACGCGGGCCAGTTGGAGTCTCACGCTGCCGTTGCCGGCCGCTCCCCGGCCGGCTCCATGTTCACAACGTTGGGGGGCAATTCTTGTGGGCGTGCCCCGTTCAATTTGGATTGGGCTCGCGATGGTAGTGTCACGTCGCCAGCGGAGAACAAGTGAGCGACGCCCAAAAGTGGAGTCGTCGTCTGCGCCGACGTTAGCGCGTAAGTTGCCCACGAAAGGTCGCGCGTAAGCGCCCTCGTCTCCAACGTGGCATGCCGCGACGGCGGTCCGCGTAAGCCACCGCGTAAAATCGCTATCGCGTAAGATCCGTTTTTGATCGTTGCTCAAGTGGGTGTCCTTGTGTGATAGTGGACAGCTGGGGACTGCCCGTACACGCTTGGTACACCGCAGCGGGCGAATGTGTGTTGGCGTGTTGGATTCCTGGCTGCCGCGTCTGTGCTTTCTGGTGAGAGGTCCATGGAATTACGGCAAGCCAAATGAGGGTTGTGTTTGACGGTTCCGTCAGTGAAACGCAGTTTGCAGAAGGTTTTTCAAGAGGGCGAAGAAAATCGTAATCGTCAAGCTTCCGCGTGCTATTCATTCCGAGGGCGGGAGAGGGGACAGGAAGGAGGCAGCAAAGAAAGGAGAGATGTTGGCGCTGCCCCTTACAAAGCGTCATTGTGTCGCTTCTTAGGGGGACGAGACGGGGTGTCATCCAGTCCATGATGGATCTGATGTGTGTTGTTGTGGAGCGCACGTTCATGTGTGCAGTGAGAGTTTGGGTTGCGGGCAGTATTCACGATGTGCCCTGATGGGTATCTCCATGGTGGGCGCAGGTGTGGCGGCAGCAGATGGCCACCGTTTTCTCTGCGCGTGCCTTTCTTTTCAGCTTGCCAGGTACGATGATCAGCCATTCGGTTCGATGTCTAAACCATACATTCGGAGACTCGAAGAACATTGTCATTCCAAGGTATGCTCATTGGTTTTGCGAAGTCCGTTGCAGAGATAGGAAGCAGAATGTGAGACAGCCCCCACACGTCTAGCCATGCTTCCGTCTACGCCGACAGCTGACGTCGTTTGCGCGCGCATGTGGTTTCTTTCCCAACCATCCTGTGGTGTTGGGTCCTCGTTTTGAAGAGAAGCCGCCCCGTGTTCTTCTCCTCCCGCCTCCTCCCTCCTCCCCTCCCTCCTTCCTCCCTGCGTTTCACCCACCCAGTACAACGCTTCATGGCCCCATAGGGAGCTCCACCGAAGGCCCCAGTGCCACCGCCCGCATGCGTCGCCCACACCCAATTCGGCGCACCCCTTACACGCTTCGTGGCCCCATAGGGAGCTCCACCGAAGGCCACAGCGCCACCGCGCGCATGCGGCACCCTCACTCATTTCGGCACACCCCTCACGTTTCGTGGCCCCATAGGGATCTCCACCGAAGGCCACAATGTCACCGCCCGCATGCGTCACCCACGCACATTCGGGCACGCCCCTCACGCGTTTCGTGGCCCCACTCGGAGCTCCACCGAAGGCCCCAGTGGCTGCGTTCGCATGCGCCCACCGCACCTATTTCGGTACACCTATCACGGGCTTCGTGGCCCCATAGGAAAAATCCACCGACGGCCCCAGTGGCTGGTTTCGCCCACCGGACAAATTTTGGCACACCCCACACACCCTTCGTGGCCCTATAGAGAACTTCTCCGAATATAGTGCATATAACGACGGTGCTCACAACTGCATGTGGTTGGGTCTTTCGCCAGGCTAATGCGGTGCGTCTCACGTCATGGGTGCACGGGAGTAGGTCGCACAACGCAAATGGCCGAGCTGTACCAGATGTGATTCCTGCCCAAGGCAAAGAGTGAGTTTTAGACAATCTCAGGATACGAAGCTGTCGGTCCAGAGCCTGCCCGGAACGGCCCAGGACATCCGTAAGGGCTTCGTGATAGAATGGGATATGTCAGAGTCGCGTCGGTGCGTCTCGGCGCTGCCTTGGCGCATCTGCAACACCATGCGGGGGCGGATAGGAATCATCAGCGCACATTGAGATGTTGGCGTTATCCTACTGGCCTTCGGGCCCATCCCACCACCGTGCCTGGGTTGTGGGTCTGAGGCCTCTTGTATATGTGTTGGGGTGTCGTGAGGAGCCTCTCGGGGGCCTCTTGGAGGCGGTTTGGGCGCCTCTTGGGGGCCTCATGACGGCCTTTGGGGGCCTCCTGGGGGCTTCCCGGGGAACAAATATCGAACGTTCGGTTCGTGGTCCCCTTCTTGGGCCCCTCTTGGGGCCGTCTTGGGGCCCTCTTGGGCCGTCTTGAGCGCTTCTTGGGCCATCGTGTAGCCCTCTTGGGCCGTCTTGGGGCCCTCTAGGAGGCGTCTTGGGCAGTCGGCAGTCTTGGGGCGGCATGGGAGCTTCTTGAGCCGTCTTAGAGTGTCGGAAAGCCGAAACTGCGAGAAAGCCAAAATCCTTCAGAAACCTTATGTACAATCTTCGATGTTGGCCTCTTGGGGCTCTCTCGGGAGGCCTCTTGAAGCTCTCTTGGGGCCTCTTTGGACCCTCTTGGGCCGTCTTGGAATCATCTTCGGGCGCATTGGAGCCCTCTTGGCCTCGGCAATGCGAACACGGTGTAATTTGCGAGGGTGTATGGCTTCGGGGACGCGAACACTGTGTAATGTACGAGGGTATGTTGCCTCGGGGACGCAAGAATTGCATAATTTGCGAAAGTGTGTATGGCATCGGGAACGCGAACATTGCGTAATTTACGTGGGATGATGGCCTCGGGGGCGCGAGTCTCCCGTATTTTTATATGTCCCACGTCCCCCCCGGGAATTCAGATCACGCGATCCGGGCGTGGTAAATTGCTGGTTTGCCCCCCCCCCCCCCCTTCGCGCGGACTTCGGCAGTTTACAGTAGGAAGCAGAAAAAAAGCAGGACTGCAACATTTGAGACTTGAAGCTGCAACTGGCGCAGGGAGCAGCAACTTCGGCATACAGCCTGGTGGCCCCACAAGGGGGCCGGCGGATTCTCAAAGATCCGTTGGGTCGTTCGAGCCAGATTTGAGCGTGTTTTCCCTTCCATTTAGACTAGGAAGATGGGGAACAGCAGCAGCAGGAGCAGGAGGGGGAGTGCCAGAAACCGCCACGCGCATGTGGTGCAGCAGGAACACGCACTGCAGCACTGCTGCTACGTGCTGGACTTGAATGCTGGTCCCCAAATGCGACCCCCACCTGGTAAGTTCGGCTCTGGCACCAGATCTTGACGCCCTGAGACCCCTGGGGGTCTCAGAGACTTCCGGGGGCCACGAGTGCCGAGCTGCATACGATACAGCCTCCCATCCCAAGTTCCCTCACACGCCCCTACAATTGTTCCTTTTGACTAGAAGAAGCGCCCTCTTTAAAAGACCAGTACAGTTGGGCGTGCCATTCTGGCGAGGGCTCCACTTTGAAAAGGAATGCGGCACATCCTTTTGGCGCATAAACTGGAACGCGGAAACCTATGATCATACTGTTCAACGGGGTGTCCAGCGAGATCTCCCGACCACCTCCGTATAACCACCGCGCAGGTTTACACATGTGGCCAGGAACTTCGAAGAAGACCCTGGAGGAAATTCAGTTTTGAAACAAGGTCGTTCTGGATCTGTGCAGTGTGACCTGTGCCCAAGTACCTTGATGTTCACATGAACGACGTCTTGGGCGAGGATCCTGTCTCGGAAGAAAGAACTACAGTGCGGGGCCCATGCCAAGAAACACCCTGCTGGCCTGCAGGATGCCCTGGGTTTCTTAGGTTCCGATGGTGTTGCTGTGGAAAGCATGACGTTCCAACATCAAAAAATCGATGGACGTCCTGGGGTCTCAGGGTTGGGTTTCTTGTGGAAGGTTTCTTGTGGACTGGCCTCCACCGTACATCTTCCCAACTATTCAATCGAAACACCGACTGCGCGAGGCGCTGAAACGCGAGCCACGGCTCGCAAACCACGCGTGCTGAAACCGTCGTGCGCGGCGCTACGGCGGGAGCAGCACATGCTGAAAGGGGCACACTCCTTCAGGAGCGAAAGAAGGACGTACACGTACATGGATCCACGCTGGTTTCGAGAGTACGCATTGCGCATATGTTCGTATCATGCGGCCGGTCTCGCGGATCGAGGGGCCGTGTTCATGTACATAGTTGGACGCATACGTCCTTCGTGGGCTCCCTACTCCTTCCATGCCCGAGATTGCTGGTAACCTTTATGGCGACTGCGCGCGGCGCCAAGGCAAGCGCCACCGTTTGAAAAGGATGCGCCCCTTCCATGTCTGAATTGCGTTAAACCTTTTACAGCGAATACTCGCGGCGCTAATGCGAGAGCCACATATTGAAAACGACCTGCGCTCCAGCCGTATACCTCTTGCATAGTGTTGAAACGAACGTGCGCAGCGCGAAGGTGTTGAAAACGCTCCATCCCCCCGACCATCCGTGAAAGTGTTGCAAACCGTTGAAACGAATGTGCGCCGAGCTAAAGCGAGTGCCACATCTTGAAGTTGCTGGATAGCGTAGGCTTCAGGATCATACATGATGAGGAAGTATCAGACGAAACGCCCAGCCCGCCCTACCGATACGTCCGAGGGCGCGACAGATGGAGTTATTTGTAAGGGGGGAAATGGAGGACTGGAAGAGGAGGAGGAGGAGGAGGAGGTGGAGGAGGGGAAGAGGAGTTCGAGGAACAGGAGAAGGAGGAGGAGGAGGGGTAGGGGGGCAAGATGAAGGGAGGAAGATGAGGAAGAGGAAGAGGGGTGGGGAGGAGGAGGAGGAGGAGGAGGCAAGAGGAGGAGCATGAGGAGGAGGAGAAGAAAAAGGGAAGCAGGAGAACGGAGGATGAGGGCGAAAGGAAGGAGGAAGGAAGGAGGACAGAGGCGGGAGGAGGGGGATCACGAGGAGGAGGAGGGAGGAGGCAGGAGGAGGCAGGGATTCCAGGGATTCCACCATCACGTAGTGATGCAAAAGATGCCCCCTCTTGAACTCGATGAGCACCGCGGCTACGAGGGATGGGCGGCCCACCCGTGGAGCCAGCCAAGAAGCTCGTGGAACACAAAAAAACGTGACACCGCCAAACGAGTCCCTCCATGATTCAGATTCGGGGGTGGACAGAACCCCCACCCTGACACGTCGATTAGTGGATTGTCCGTTTTCGGTTCTCGAGGGGGCGCCGCGGCCGTCATTTTCCAGGCTTGCGCCCGCCAGGCCTGGGCCCGAGGTCGTTTTCACTAAACCGCGTTTTGCTGAAGGGGTTCTGTCCACCCCCGAGAGATGCTCACTCCTTCCCAGCCGGACCACCAAGAGCGGATCAGGCGACGCGCACTTTGGCGCGCCGCGCGCAGCACGCACCGTGGCGCGCCGCGCGCTCTGACAAGCCCGAGGCGGCGGGCACGCTGCCTTCGGGCAGCGACACGCCCCTCGGCGTGCCGCCTCGAGAAGCCGCCCGAGGGGCGCCCCTCCCTCGGGCGACAGCGCCCCCCCGCGCACGCCAGGGCGGGGGCCCCTGGCCGTGGGAAGGAGGAGTGCGGATCCACCATGAGCCCTGGAGGGTTTCTCCGAAAGGCTTCGGCGGCCCCTCCTCCTCCTCCTCCTCGTCGTCCTCCTCCTCCTCCTCCTCGTCGTCCTCCTCCTCCTCCTCCTCCTCCTCCTCCTCCTCCTCCTCCTCTTCTCCTCCTGCTCCTCCTCCTCCTCCTCCCCTCCTCCTCCTCCTCCTCCTCCTCCTCCTCCTCCTCCTCCTCCTCCTCCTCCTCGGGTCGCCTACGGCCCTGGGGGAAACCGTGCAATGAGCCCCCCGCAGGGGATCCCCCACCCGCCCAGGCGCACGCGGTGTACGTGCCGGGCCACCGCAAGGGGTGGGAAAACATGGCGACGAGGTGCAATGTTCTTTCCCCCTGGCCTCTAGGGGCAAGCAGGGGTGACGACCGGGCTGCGACACGCCTGCTTTCCTGGGAAGGATACCCATTGGCACAGGTGCCGAGGCAGGAGGAGGCAGGAGGAGGAGGGGGAGGGAGGGGAAGGATATGGGTCGAGGGAGAGGAGGAGGAAGAGGAAGAGGAAGAGGAGGAGGCGAAGGAGAAGGGGGAGTTGTGTTTGTTTGGCCGCCGCACCCAGCGCCCTCCCGAGCTGTGGTTCCGCTGCTCGCGCTCCCGCGCCCCCGCACTGCGCAGCTGCGAGCACGCGTGCTCCACTCCGCCTCGAGTGGCCTCCCCAAGGCCACCGAGCGCCGGGGACCCTGGCGTCCCACATGACCGACGGAGTGAAACGGATTCAATTGCGCCGACATTCGCGCGTAAGCCTCCCGCGTGAGGTCGCGCGCAGGCGCCCTCGTCTCCAGTGTGGCGTGCCGCGCTGGCGGCCCACGTAAGCCACCGCGTGAGGTCGCTGTGTCATCTCGCGTAAGACCCGGTTCCTGCCGTCGCTCACACGAGGCCCAGACTGGCTGGGCTCGAACGCTCGCGCCGCATCGCCGATGCATCGGCGATGCGGCGCGAGCCGCCGAGCCCATCTGCACGGGCCCCATTTGGGAGGCCTCTGTAGGCGGCGAGCCCAGGGGAAAGCGACGAGGAGAAGGCCATCTCGGAAGGCTGGGAACCAGTGCTGGGCCACCTTCGAGCTCCAGCCGACTCCAACCAGCAGACTTCGGCGATGGACCTTCGATCCATACCCATGCTGCTACCCCCCACCCTGGGCGCCAGGAGGAGCAGGGCATGGATGAAAAGCTCGGCCTATGGGTCAAGATTCTTTCGGCGGCGAGCCCGGGAGGGAGTGAGAAGGAGAAGGCCTTATCAGAAGGCTCGGAAGTCCCCAGGCCTTCTGAGAAGCTTTCTGAGCCTTCCCCGTAGACACAGAAAATGTTGCAGAAGGTGCGAGGGCCTCTGAGAAGTCCCGCCGCCTTCTCAGAAGGCCTTCTCCTCGTCGCGCTCTCCCCCCCGCTCGCCGCCGATTCTAGTCGAGGCCAGCGCGGCCCAGTGCGGGGAGCCCCCCGCAGGGCTGCCACGCGGGCCGCAGCCTGGCCTCCTCGAAGGGCCTCTCCAGAGCGCCGCGCGCCTCCCAGCAGTCGTCGAGCCGGCAGGCGAGGCCCGCGTTGAGGAACACCTCGCGAGCGGAGACGCCATCGGCAAGGCCGGCGGCCTCGCCTGCGCCGTCGAGCCCAATCCAGGCCTCCAGCGCATTGAAAAATTCAATGCGGGGGTATGACGTCGTGTTCGGCCGCTGGGGGCCCTCGCAGGGCCCTGGGGCCGTCACGAAACGAGCCGGGGTGTAAAGCTGGGCCTACGGAAGAGTTCGGGTCTTCTGGGGACTCCACAGTGAGAAAGCAACACATCTTGGCGGCACCGTAAGTAATAGGTGTTCGCTAACCGGTTCTTTGGAAGTTGGCAAAACTTGGCAGTTAGGACGTCTTTCGGACATTGCAGCGTTGCCCGGATCGGGGAGGGTTTGAAGTTCGCTTGGTCGCTGGCAGAAGTACCCCTTGGTGGAGGCCCCTTCAGGGGGCGCTGAACATCGGAACTCTGGGACCCAACACGGCGATCTCCCCGTGCCTCCCGGCTGCCCTCGCACGGCGTGCCGTCGCCGTCGCCGTCCAGGCGGCATGCTGCCGCCACCGCCCCTCAGGCCGGACGGAACCCCCGCTGCGCTCGGAGCCCCTTGCCGCGCCCGGAGCTCCAGGCTCCCCTCGAGCGCACATGGGCACGATCGAAATGGGTACGGACAGAATGGCGACGAAGACCAACAGCAGTTCCTGCCCAGTTCGGACAGGACTCGCTGTCGACATCGCCGCGGACGTCCGTTTGAGACAGAGAGGCACCTTTGGATCACCTCTGCTGTTGCGCATCGTCCATACCCCTTTCGTCCCTGCCCACTCGGGGCATCCAGAGCACAGTCGCCGATCTGCTCCCCGCCCTCGAGTGCATTGCCGCCACGCGGGCCACGCCAGCAGCCGCGGCCACGGCCGCCGCAGCTGCACGCGGCGGCCGCCGCGGCTGAACTCGCCCTCGCGCCAGGATCTCCCCCGCGGCCCCCGCGCCTGCTGCCTGTCTTGCCGGCGCCAGGCCAGCGCGGCGCGGGCGCCCGCCAAGGCTACCTGTGGGGCTGCGGCGACTTCCATGGTCGCCGTTGACGTCCTCCTGCTGCGCAGGCCTGTGCTCTGGCGCGCACGCGCACGAGCGGCATGCCCTGAGCGCGCTCCGCCGCCTGCGGCTTCCCCTCCTTCCGTGCGCGCCCTTCCGTCTCCCGCTGTGCCCAACGAGGCCCCGTGGTGGATCCGCGCCGCTGCGACGAGGCCGCCTCCCCGCCACTCGGAGCAACAAAGAAGCTGCACGCGCAAATCGAAGTGCCCACGCGGCGCGGTGACCACACCGCGCGGTGAGCCAGTGGGGATTCGGAGCCACCACGCGGTGCGGGGCGCCGGGTCGTTCGCCGAGGACGTCTCGGGCGACGGACCTCGCCCCCTCCCCCGCCCACCCACCGGCATTCGAGGCAGCGTCTGGGGCTCGAGCTAGACCATGTTTGTGGCGCTCGGGAACGAAGCCAGGGCTCGAGCTGCCCCCTCCCCTGGCAGCCGAGAAGGAGTCCAGGGCTCGAGCTGAACCGTTTGCGCTGCGGTCGGAGAAGAAGCTGGGGCTCGAACGACGCCGCCCCCACCCCGGTGTCTGGGCGTTTTCGTGGGCCGTTCTCGTTTTTGACTCCGTTTTGCGGCACACGGCAGAGGTGGAGCGAAGACAAGACGAGGGAAGACGAAGACAAAACGAAAGCGGCAAGAGACTGCTGTACACACACACACACACACACACGAAGGTCTGGAGGTCTGCGCGGATGTCTCGGATCGGCACCAGACCCCAGGGGGACGCCCGAGGCGCTGCCAGGGGGGATCAGCGCTGATGCGGGAAATCTGCGCGGTTCTCCGAATGATGCTTGTTTATGATTATGCCAAGCCAGGCGATACCAACGGCCCACGCAACCCCTCCCCCCCTGGTGCGTCCCCTCCCGTAAGCGATCGACCCCGACGAGGCTTGCCGCAACCTCGAACGGGGGGGGGCTGTGGGACATGGCAGGCTGGAGCCCAAAAAGGCTTGAGCCAGAGTAGCAACGGAGGAGGGAATGGGGGGAAGGAGGGGGAGCAGGAGGGAGGGAGGGAGGAGGGAGCGGGAGGAGGGAGGAGGGAGGAGGAGGGGGGAGGAGGGAGGGGGAGGAGGAGGAGGAGTAGGAGGAGGGGGAAGGGGGAGGAGGGAGGAGGGGGGAGGGGGGAGGGGGGAGGGGGAGATGGAGGAGGAGGAGGAGGGAGGAGGGGGGAGGGGAAAGGAGGAGGAGGCGGAGGAGGAGGAGGAGGGAGGAGGGCGGAGGGAGGAGGGCGGAGGGAGGAGGAGGATGGGCAGACAGGAGGGCGGAGTGCGGGGAGCGGCAGGAGCAGGAGGCGGCGGATAGGTGCGCCATCTCCGTCCGCCCGCCAGCGCGGAAGGTGATCTTCCTCAACCTGACGCTCACCACGCTGTGCTACCCTGGCATGGTCACGTCGATCCCCTGCAGGCAGCGCGCGCCCGCGCCCGGCGACGGAGCGATCGCCCTGCATCGCCGAGCGCGTTCCACTACTCGCAAAGTGCCTACTCGCTAACGTCCGACAAACACAAGTCTGCTTTGATGTAATTGATCGTAGATCCCCCGAGGAGGATACAGGCCATTTGCGAGTAGTGACTTTGCGAGTAGTGGAACGCGCTCGCCGACTGCAGGACCACTCGGGTGCGGTCGGGCGGGAGGCAGGGGGGAGGAGGGGGCGGGAGGAAAAAACACCACGACCCCGAGAATTGGCGTTTACTCAACGGCCCTGGGCGTTTACGAAACAGCCCTTCCCTGATCGATCTCCTCCTGGGGTGCGTTTACTAAATTCGAGTAAACGCAAGACTCGAGTACGCCGGAACTCGAGTTAGCCGAAGCTTTTTGACGAGTTCGCCTTGGATTTTGACTGTCCAGCTTTCGTGGGGTGTCTGCATAGGGAGCTCGCGTCAAATTTCAGACTAGGTCTCGTCATTTGTTCGATGGCCCCGTCAGGCCAAGCCGAGTCCCCCGAACCCGTGGTCTTACGTCTCCCCGATAAATGGTTTGGCTTGCCGGGGCGCTTATGAAGAGGGTGGACTTTCTGCTCTCCAGAGGGACGAAGTCATCCGCGCGACGGCCCAGAGCCTGAAACACTTCCAGATTCTGGCCTGGTCTCGCAGGCAAGGAGGGCCGGAGATCAGGAGGAGGAGCCCGGGGCATGGCTCCGCGAGGATTTTTTTGAAGGCTTGAGAGGCTGCCTTGAGAAAGGCGGCGCGGCCATAGGGGAGGATTTGTTTGATTTGACGCTGATGAAGCCGTGAGCCTGTCAGCAAAGGCCGGCACGCAACTCGTCAGACTACCGACTCTGCATGGGCACCAAGGAGCTCTGAGAGCAGTGCCCTTCCCACCCCTATGTCACCATCCCTCCGGAAGACCCCTTTCCTCAAAGCAAGCATCTGTGCAGGCATCGGGTCGCACTTTGGATCGACGACAGCATCGCGGGAGGAAGAGAAGGGAGGGCGGAAAGCCGGGAGGAGAGGGGGAGGCAGGGGCAAGGAATGAGGGCAGGGATGGCCTCGTCCTTCCCCCCCCCTGGCGTAGTTTTCGGAGGCTGGCAGGGAAGGGACCCCCCCCCTCTGCCGAGTCGACTGGGAAGCTGTGGTCTCCACCCCCCCAGGGAGGCCAAGGCCTCCGGCGTGCGTTCGAACGCGGATCCCACGTTCCACACCGAAGCAGAGAGTCGGGGAAACGCAAGACTCGAGAACGCCGGGACTCGGGTCAGCCGACGCTTTCTGACGAGAGCGTCCTGGATATCGACGGTCTTGTTTTCGCGGAGTGTTTGCAGCGGGAGTTCACGTCAAATTTCAGACCCGGTCTCGTCATTTTCATGATGGCCCCGTCAGGCCAAGCCGAGCCCCCCGTACCCGAGTCTTACGTCTCCCCGAAAGAAGAGAGAAGCATTATTGATGTTACTATGTCCCCCGTAAATCATCACCGCCAAACGAAGTCAATGAATGTTCTGGCTTGTATTCGTTAGAGGAAGCGCTGAGAGCGAGACATGTCCAAAGATACATCGTGCTTATAGAAGCATCATTGGTGTTAGCCTCCTCAGGCCATCCTGGAAGGCCTCGTAGGCCGCGGCGGTTGCCTTCCCGGCCGTCTCGGGGGCCGTTGCGAGCCCCTTTTGGGGGCCGCATCGGAGGCATTTTGGGGCCGTCTTGGCCCCTCCCGAGGGCACCTCGGACATCTTGGAGGACATGTCGGGCCGTTTTGGAGCCCAAAGAACGGCACTCGAGCCGATGACCTCCGCGGCCCCGCCCGGCAGGTCCCCCTCAAATTCGGCTGGACGGGGCTCCCTGGGGGGAGGGTTTGGGAAGTGGCAAGTAGGTCACACGCCGGGGAGATCCCTTGGGGCTGTTGAATTGTGATGTTTCCGGCCCTATCGGGGTCTCGGACGAGGGGTCCGCGTCGCCGTATTTTACGTTTCGCCGAATCATTTTGGCCGCACTTCAAGGCGGCGGCGCTTCCTCTTCACCGACATGGTCAATTGGTTACAATGGTTGAGTTCGAGGGCATCTGATGTGCCCCTGTGTCCAAACATGTGGTGCTCTCGATATTTGACGTCACGGCTGTTGTGCTGGAAAACGGCAGCATCGATCCAATCGATTTGCAGAGGTTCTCTCATGTTCGTTGGATTATGTCAAGGCCTGTCCACGGGCACTCGGCAGCGCAGACCTTGCAACAACATCGAGATCGCTCGCCTCGTGCTGGTGGCTTCGGACGGCGCTCAAAAGCCGTCGAAGCTCCGCGACCGAATTTCCTTCTCCAGGTTTGCATAAGTATCGAATGGCCTGCGGCCAATCCCGCCACCATGCCTGGGTTGTGGATATGAAGCCAGTTGATGTTCGTTGGGATCTCGTGGGAGGCCTCTTGGGGAGCGTGTTGAAGCCTCTTGGGGGCTGTTTTGAGGCCTCTTGGGGCATCTTTTGGGCCTCTTGGGGCCTCTTGGGGGCCTGTTGGGGCGGGAGGCTCAGATGTTCGGTTCGTGCTCCCTCTCTTGGGCCCCTTTTGGGGCTGTTTTGTGGGCGCCTCTTGGGGCGCTCTTAGGCCATCTTTGGGCCCTCTCGGAGGCCTCTTGGGGTGGTCTTGGCGGGCGCTTTGGCCGTCTTGGAGCATCGGAACGCCGGAAAGGCGAGAAGACCAGAAATCTTGGGGACATCAATGTGTTTTGCTCGTGGGGCCCTCTTGGGAGGCTTATTGGGGGCCTCTTGGGGCGCACGGGGAGCCTCCTGGGCCGTCTTGGGACCGTCTCGAGCGTCTTGGACCGATCTCTCGGCGACTCGGGGGCCTCTTGGGCTCCGTCGCGTCTCGACGCGTGCCTCTTCGGGGCCTCTCGGCCCGTCTTGGGGCCCGAAAGAGTCACGCGGGGAGACGCGGCGAGCCCCCGACCAGACGCGAGAAGCCTCGAGAGATTCCGCAAGTTGAGCTCCGGGGCCTCCAGCGACTCCTCAGGAGTGAGGACTGAGGCACAGGGGATCGGGCAGAGGACCTGAGGACACGCCCACTCTGTGCGAAGCGGCACGGTGGCGGATGTCCGCCTTGCGGTATGTATATGGTTGAAGCTTCGGAGGCGTGCGCACCAGTGGGTCGGCAAAGACCCGAGGCTGAACAACTGTTAGGTCTGTGTGTCAGAGTGTGTCCGTAGCTGTGTCTGCATGAGCGCGTGTCTGTTTCTAGGCCTGCGTCTGTCTATGCGCGTCTGTGTGTCTGCTCCTGCTTTGTCTGGGACGAGAGGCGAGAGTCAATGTTTGGGGGTCGCTGGTGGCGCCAAGAGGCCTGCTCAGACCTCTGCTGGGGAGCCCGGGTGCTCTGCAGGCCTCTGGAGAGGCCCCCAGGGACCCAGAGTTATGGCGCCTCGAGGAAGCCTCGCCTCAGATCTATGCAGCCTTCGGCGCTAAGAACCCGCCGTCGGCCCTTACGACAGTCAGAAAACGGCGTGGGGCGAAAAGATTATCCCGTCCAGATCTCCAAGGGCGGGCTGAGGTGAGGTGAGGTGTGCCAGGCGCCTGCATCGCGCATCGGCAAACAAAGCTACTTTGAGCTTCGCACACGCCCTAAAACAAAGTAGTGGTTATGGTACACTGCCCGTGGGCGCAGGAGGAGGGGCAGGGAGGAAGAGAAATGCTTAGCTCCAAGGGCGGGCTGTTCGAACGAAATCGAGTCGTCGGAGGTTTGTGTTCTGAGGCCCCAGTTCTCTCGCGCGGGCGTGAGCCCCCTGGGGGCGTGGCACGAGAGGGCGAAGACCAGCGCACGTCTCGCTGCGCGCAGCGCGAAGTCCGAATACCGGCATCTGCGTGAATATCTATACATATATATACATATACGTATATATATATATGTTACATATATATATATGTATACATACATGTGTGTATATATGTTCGCCGGCCCAACGGGCCAGAGGCGTGCTAAGATCTCCGGCAACTGGTTAACCATATTTCTAGTTCGCGCGCGCGCGGGGGGGGGCCCTGGGGCCCCCCGGACGAGAAGAACCCCGGATAGGTCCCGGAATGAGCGAAGCGATTTTTATATATATATATATACACACACACACATATACATATATATATATACATGTGTAGATAATGATGTTCGTTTATGGACGTTTAATTTGAAGCGTGTCGTATTCGAACATGCCGTTTTGCTTGTATCGTCCGCCTCCCCCCCGTTCGCTCTTCCTGATTCCTTGCAGGCAGTTCACGTTTCTGGAGAAAGACCACTGGTTTCAGACGCTTCTGCTGACGGCGTTCACGGTTGCCGACATTATCGGGCGTATTATGACCCATTTGCTTGCCGCGTGCGTTCTTGAATTGCCAGCAGTCCTCGGATTCCATGGGCGGGGAGCCGAACGCGGGGCAGGAAGCGCAGGAGGAGGGACCCGCACTACCGAGCAGGGAGGGCAGGTCGCAGCTCCGCCCAGCAGGCAGAGGTCGCCGGGGGTGTGGACCAACCGATCATGCCACCAGATGTTCACACGTGGCCGACGGGAACACCAATCCGTGGACTCAGGAGAGAAGGAAGAGATGAAGAGGAGGAACATGAGGAACAATACGAGGATCCCTGATCCATTGGGAGGGGACCTAAGTTAGGAGGGCGAAAACATTTGGGCTACGGGATCTCCTTTGCATACGTCTCAGACGACGCCATCCACATGTTTAGTGACAACCCTAAAAAAGGTGTCCGCCTAAATTCGGTCACGAGTTCATTGTCTTATGAGGGTAAGTTGTGCTATGTTTACTGAGGAAATGGCGAAGGAGAGGAGGAGGGAGAGCAAAGAACTGGAAACTTTGCTGTCCTGCCTCCGTTGAGGCAGGCCCCGAGAGAGAAAGAGGTGCAAACGTAAAGGGCGAGGGCGTGCTTGTGGCACGCCCCCCCGATGACAGGCGGCCGCCGCGGCGGACAGCGCGAGAGGAAGAGGAGGAGGAGCACGAGGAGGAGGAGGAGGAGGAGGAGGAGGAGGAAGAGGGAGGAAGGAGGAGGGACGAGCGGGAGGAGGGAAGGGAGGGAGGAGGGAGGAGGAGGAGGAGGAGGAGGACGAAGAGGAGGAGGAGGAGGAGGAGTCTCTTCCTCCTCCCTCAGCAGCTAGACAGCGCAGATGTGGAGCACCACCTCCGCCGCCCGCCCAGCCAAGTGCAGGACGGAGGCGCGGCCACCCCTGAGCCAGCGGAGGAGTCGCCGCGCCCGCTGCACCCTCCAGCCGAGGAGGAAGGCACCTCCCTCCGCGAGGGCGGCCCTGCAGAGCCTGCCCCCGCAGGCCTGGCTGACAAGCCGCCCCCCAGCCCGCCTCCCAAGGGGAGCGACGGTCGCTGCGGAGGGAGCGGAGGGCGGGGCGGCAGCGGCGGCAGGGGACGGCGACGGAGCCAGCGGCCAGCTGGCAGCGAACGGCGGCGGCGGAGCGGCTGCGGAGGCTGGCGCGGCGCAGCCCAGCCCAGGCAAGAGCCCATAGGAGCTGCCCATCAGGCTGCTGCTGGCGCCGAGGCCGCGACGCAAGCGTGGGCGAACGAGCTCGTGCCGGTCCCCAGCAGCAGCCGTGCGCCGTCAGCCTGCAGGCCAGCTGGCCCTGGTGCCGAGGCGCTGGGCTCGACGTGGGCGCCCGAGGGCCCCGCTGCCGCGTCGGCGCGGCGAGCGAAGGGCGCTGGCGGTCCTCTCCGACCATCATTTTGTCAAAACTCCTCCTCCTCCTCCTCCTCCTCCTCCTCCTCCTCCTCCTCCTCCTCCTCCTCCTCCTCCTCCTCCTCCTCCTCCTAGTCGGCGTGGGAAGGCCAGAAACTTTACCGACCCGCCAAGAAGGCGCAAACTTCACCCCCGCAGGACTTCAGGGCCGCCCGACTGCACTAGGCTGGGGGGGGAGGGGAGGCTCGCTACAGAACCACACACGTTTGTCTCGACACTCCGCTCATTGCATCCCCGATTCCCTTTTCTAGCCTATCCGAACCCAGAGGGAATGGCGGAAGCGGCTGCCGAATGCGGCGGCCGCACCGGGCGCCCAGGAGCGCCACCCGGCTTCGGCACAGATCGCACACGACTTCGGAGACACATGAGGAAATCACACAAGCAGAAAATGAAGTTTCATATGATATATATATATATATATATATATATATATATGTACATATATATATATATATATATGGAGGAGGATGTGTTTGCACTGACACCTGAAAGCGGACCATGTCTGATTGACCAGGGCACAAGCACTGATTTCCAAAGAGAACTCTCCGATGACAGCTTAGACATACTATAGTTTACGTTCGCCTTCTTATGAAGTATGCTTGGCTCATCTAGTACCACAGTGGGAAACTTGCACGGACGATCTCCTGGGACTTTTATGCGGCATGGCTCCGATCAAAGAAGCTAGTCTCCTGATTCCCAGTTGTGGACATCCAAACAATCAGATAGACGTTGTATGGGCTGCCAGCACAGGGAATACAACAAACGTGGGCCGACCTTGCTTCGGGAAGAACCGCATCAACATTATTATGGCGAAGGACCCAACCATATGCAGCTGTGGGTACCGCAATTGTGAATATCTTCTTCGGTGAGAACGCATGCGCTGGGTGGGGGGGAACGCACGCGGGCGGTAGCACTGGGGCCGCCAGTGGAGTTCCCTACGGGGCCACGAAACTTTGCACTGGGCGGGTGAAACTGCCAAAGTGGGCGCGTGGGACGCATGCGGGCGGCCCCACTGGGGGGCTTCGGTGCAGCTCCCTATGGGGCCACGAAGCGCTGTACTGGGTGGGTGAGAACGCCAAATTGGGCGTGTGGGAAGCAGGCGGGCGGTCGCACTGGGGGGCTTCGGTGGAGCTCCGCATGGGGCTACGAAGCGCTGTATCGGGTGGGTGAAAATATGTGAAAATACCAGATTGTGCGTGTGGGGCGCATGCGGGCGGTCGCACTGGGAGCTTCGGTGGGGCTCCGTACGGGGCACGAAACGTTTTATTGGGTGGGTGAAAAATGCAAAATCGCGCGCGTGGGACGCATGCCGACGGTCCCACTGGGGGCTTCGGTGGAGCTCCGTATGGGGCCACGAAGCGCTGTATTGGGTGGGTGAAAATGCTAAATTGGGTTTCCGGGACGCCCGCGGGCGGTCCCATTGGGGGGGGGTCCGGTGCAGCTCCGCACGCGGACACGAATATTTGGTGGGTGGAAAATTTCAAATTGGATTTCCGGGGCGCATGCGGACGGTCCCACTGGGGGTTTCGGTAGGGCTCCCTATGGGGCTAAGAACGCTGTAGTGGGCGGGGGGGGGCGCATGCTGACGGTTGACCTGGATCCTTCGGTGGAGCTCCTTATTATGCCACGAAGCGCTGTATTGGGTTGGGGGGACGCATGCGGACGGTAGACCTGGAACTTCGGTGGAACTCCTTATGGGGTCTGTACTGAGTGGGGGGGACGCACGCGGACGGTAGCACTGGGACCTTCGATGGGGTTCCCTATGGGGCCACGAAACGTTGTATTGGGTGATTGAAACGCACGGAGGAGGGGGAGGAGGGCCACGAAACGCTGTGCTGGGTGGGGGGGGACGCACGCGGACGGTATCACTGGGACCTTCGGTGGGGCTCCTTATGGGGCTACGAAGCGTTGTGCTGGGTGGATGAAGCGCAGGGAGGAGGGGGAGGAGGAGGGAGGAGGAGGAGGAGGGGAGGAGGAGAACGCGGGGCGCTGTGTTTCCAAAACGAGAACCCAACACCACAAAATTACTTGGAAAACCCATTCAAATCTAACAGACAAACAATTCAGCGCGCAAATCGATTGAACATAACTTCGGGAGTGTATGATATTTTCATTGGTGCAGACAGTGACGAGTTTGCAAGTGGCACTACTTTGCGGGAGTTGCAAACACGAGGGCTGTCTAAATACAAGAGGAACGAAATTGCCTTGGCGGTGCAGCCGTGGATGGGCATTGCTTGGTTCGCTGCAGAAATACAAGATGTTATGGGTAACGCTTGAATAAAGTATCATCCCAAAGAAGCACTTGAATCATATCGAGAAGGGTTGCGCGTTCTTACAGATTCCCCCCCGTCGTCCTCAGGTCAAGAAGACGGAAAAAGGAACGCCCCCTTACTCCCCAGGAAAGAAATTAGCCTGTCGAAGGACCCAGCCATACGCAGCTGTAAATACCGCAAGTATGAAGGTCATCTTCGCCCGCGTTCCCTATGGGGCCACGAACCGTGTGAAGGGCGTGCCGACATGCGTGGCGGGGCACACAACGCGAGCGAAGACGATAGGCCTGTGCGCGAGAGAATGAAAGCGAGTGAGCCAGATTGTGGATGAGTCCTGCGCGCGCGTGAGTCTACGATCATAAATATCGACGCCCCTGTCGGCGCGCCTCTCACGAGGATCGCGCCCGTTTCCTTCCCGTTCTTCTTCTCCCCCTTTCCCCGTGCACGCCCATGTCCAAGGCTGCGGGCGCGGCGCCGCACGGAGTCCCCGCGACGCGCGCTGGTCGCCCCGAAGGGGTCCCGGCGACGCGCGCGGGTCGCCCGCTGCGAGGAGCACAGAGAGCGAGCAGGCTAGCTCCCGCCCGGGATGCGCGGCCCGAAAGTGGCTCCGACACGTCGACTACGACAAAAAACCTCCAGAAATCGAAAGTCGCCGCCATGCGAGCCCCGCCGCTGGGCCGCCATGCGAGTTCCGCCACGGAACCCTTAGGTGGAGCTCCCTCTGGGGACACGAAACGCTGCATTGGGTGGTGGATGACGCATGCGGGCGGTCCCACTGGGGCTGTCGGTGGAGCTCCCAATGGGGCCACGAAGCGCTGTACTGGGTGGTGATGACGCACGCGGGCGGTCCCATTGGGGTTTTCGGTGGGGCTCCCGATGGGGCCACGAAGCGCTGTACTGGGTGGTGGATAACGAACGCGGGCGGTCCCACTGGGGCTTTCGGTGGGGCTCCCTATGGGGTCACGAAGCGCTATAGAGGGTGGTGGATGACGAACGCGGGCTGGTTCTGGGATGGAGGATTAGCAGCTGGTGTTAGTTTCTTTTTTGTGTTCTTGTGTGCTACTAGTGTTTTTTTTTTTGTTTGTTTTGTTGGTTTTTGTTTTTTTTGTTTTTGGGTCAATTTTTTTTGTGTATTTGTCTTGTTGTTTCTAAGTTCATTTAAGTTCTTTTTATAAAGTTTATATTAGTTTGTTCTTTGTTTTTACTCCTACGGTGGAGCTCTTGATGGGGCCACAAAGCGCTGGGACCACCGTGGTGGTGGGTGACGCACAAGCGGGCTTGTTATAGGTCCTACTGGGGACCTTCCGGTTGATCTTCCCCTATGGCTGCCCACGAA